AATTATGATTTTTTATAAATATTTAATACTCTAATATATTCTATTACTTATACATACTTCGTGTACTTTTTTCAATGAAACTTAACAATAGAACTGATTCATTTAACAAACATCAACAAAACTATCTCAATTTTCCCAACTACTCTCAGAGCTCTTTTTCGTGTCGTGCCTATTAATATATTTGACGTATACGTAATATTTTAGTACGTTGGCGTAATTTAGTCTGCTGTTTCTTTTGAATACAAATTAAACCTATGCCAATAATTGCTCTGATTCACTCAGCAAGAAATAACAAACATTTACTGTTTCAATTTCCCCCAACTACCCTTAAAGCATTTTCCCCATTACTTATCTAACAATGTATTTTACGTATACTTAATATTTGACTACATCATTTATTTTAGTTAATAATACGATTTTCAGGGATTTTCATAAACTCAAGAATTGCTCTGATTCATTCCACAAAAGTAAAAACGGAAACTTTTTAAATCTACCCAACTACCCTTTAATTTAAGCCCAGTTTTTGTATTTTAGCTAACATGGCATGCATTTAATAATACATATAATTATCACCATTACAATTCTTCTACATAATCAATTGTAATGTGCTATTAATAAAGACTCAATCAGTTTCAAATCGCCACACGAAAAGCCTTTCATTTCGCATTCAAGCCATATAATTATGGCAAACAAAAAATAATATATACTATATAATGTTTCCCGGCAGGGAATTTTTTTCGTTAATTTCTCAAATTGAATTAAAAACTAACCGAAACAACCTACACAAAGCGCGCGCGCAACGAACTGAAGCTTGAGGCGACTCAGCAAATTGGCAAAGCGGGTTTCCCAAAAAACGATGCCACGACGAAGGCGGCAAAGTACAGTGCAGGTAATTTGAGAAAGAAGACAACAGACACGAGCAATAGCTGGAGAGTGTACGAGTGAGTGAGTGAGAGAGAGCAAAGCAGAGTCGAGCACAGCAGAGTAGAGAGCCAGTGGGAGAGAGAGAGAGAGAGCGTCGTGCGTGCGCTCGTTATAAAAACGAATGCAGCATCGAAGTGCGAGTCATTCGCGCAAAGGAAGCTGCAACGAGCAGAACGAGCAGAACGTAACGGGTTAAAGTGAACGAAGTGAAGGAGAAGAAACAAGTGTTGCCTAGCTTTGGGCAAAGTGTTTAAGAAAATTAATAAGTTATTAAAAAAAATAAAAAATAAAAATTTAAGTGCATTAAGTGAAATTGTAAAAGCATCAAAAACAAACTGCAAAATGAATGTGGAAGAATTCCGTAAATATGGCAAGGAAGTGATCGATTATATATGCGAATATGGCAGCAATATTGAAGAGCGCGATGTGGCGCCCACACTGGATCCTGGATATTTGAAAAAACTGTTGCCAGGTAAGAAATAGAGCGCGCATAAATAACCTCGTTAAGCTAGTCTATTTACAAACAATTTATAAATAATTCGCGTATAAATTTGCTGAAGTAATTATAAATATATTTCTTTTTACTCAATGGAATGCAAAATTCATTCAAAACGAAAAAAAAAAGTATGAGTATAAATGTCTGCGCTATTTTGATGTAATGTAGAGAACTACATATTTTGTTTATAAACTATAAAAATATTGCCAGTCAGAGCTGGCTGAGAGATCGCGTATGTAAACAACAATTAGTTAAAGGCTTCTAAACAAATTAGCGAAACGAAAAATAAATTTCGCTTCACACAAAATATTCACAAAAAAAAAAAAAAAAAAAAAAAAAAAAAAATGAAAGAAAAGGAAAACAAATCTTCAACAACAATAAATACAATAAAAAACCTCCACTCGACAGACACTTGAGAAACTTGTGGATTTCATGTTGACTAATTGCGAGCAAACAACGCGAATTGACTTGTAGCTCTCTAGAAGCCCACATGGTAACCGTGAATCCATGAAAAAAAAAAAAAATAACAAAAAATCTGCGTTTTTTTTACTAAAAACTGTAGCGTGGGCCCAATGTGGGGCATCGGGCAGTTGGGTCATAAGATTTTTGGTGTTTTTTCAGGCGAATTTCGAGCGAATTGCGCACAGTTAGTTAAGCTAAATATTTACGTTTTGATGAACACCGCAACAAAACAAATCAATTAATTAGGCGCGCACACACAGGTGGAGGAGTAGATAAAGATATGTGCTGGAATGATGCCGACTTTTTGCCGCACGCTGCCAAAAATAACAAAATGTATAGCCAACAGCTTTATAGGTGCTAAAAGATATACATAGATGAACTACAGATATAACATTTATATATTTAGTATAGATTCAAAGCCAAACTGTTTCCAGGGCCAACTAACAAGCTGTCTTGATTTGTTTACATTGCAGCTGACGCGCCCCAATCACCAGAATCGTTTAAAGATGTGCTCGAGGACTTTGAGCAGAAGATAATGCCAGGCGTCGTGCACTGGAATCATCCCAAATTCTTTGCTTACTTCCCATCGGGCAACAGTTTTCCCTCGGTACTGGGCGATTTGCTGAGCAGTGCCATTGGCTCCATCGGCTTTAGCTGGGCCAGTTGCCCGGCTGCCGCGGAGCTGGAGACAATCGTAATGAATTGGTATGCCAAGGCATTGGGTCTGCCCAAGGCCTTCATATCAGACGCACCGGGCAGCACTGGCGGCGGCGCCCTGCAGGGCTCAGCTTCGGAATGTGTGCTCGTGTCCCTGATTACGGCACGTGCGAGGGCCATCAACGAGCTGAAGGGGCATACGAGCGTCCACGACAGCGTCTTTCTGCCCAATCTGATTGCCTATGCCAGTCGCGAGGCGCACTCCAGCGTGGAGAAGGCCACCAAAATGGCGCTGGTGAAGCTGCGCATTATTGATGCCGATGAACGCGGTCGGATGCGCGTGGATCTACTCCAGCAGGCCATACAGAATGATGTGAATGCCGGATTGACGCCCTTCTTTGTGGTGGCCACAGTGGGCACCACCGGTGGCTGTGCCTTCGACGATATCTCCGAGATCGGCAAGGTGTGCCGACAGGTGTCCAGCATTTGGCTGCATGTGGATGGCGCCTATGCAGGCAACTCTTTCATACTGCCAGAGATGCGTGTGTTCTCCGCTGGCTTGGAGTACGCCGACTCATTCAACACAAATCCCAACAAGTTGCTTCTGACCAACTTCGATGCCTCTGCTCTGTGGGTGCGGGATGTGATGGTACTAAAGAGCGCGCTCAATGTGAATCCCTTGTACCTGAGGCACGAGCACATAAATGGCGTGGACTACAGACACTATGGCATTCCCCTGAGTCGTCGCTTTCGTGCGCTTAAATTGTGGTTCGTCTTTCGCACATATGGCGTGAAGGGACTGCAGGAGTACATACGCAATCACATGGTGTTGGCCAAGAAATTCGAGATGCTGGTGCGCAAGGACGAACGCTTCGAGGTGCGCAACGATGTGCACTTGGGTCTGGTGTGCTTCCGCATGCGGTAAGTTTAAAATTGGACTAAAACTTAATTCTCTCGTATATTACAATATTCCCCTTCTCCCCTCGCAGCACCGGCGATGAGCCCAATCATCTGCTCCTGGCACAGATCAATCATTCAGGCAGGATGCACATGACGCCGGCTAAATTCAATGGGCGCTATGTGATACGCTTCTGTGTGACGTATGAGCATGCCACAGAGAAGGATATACTGGATGCCTGGTCTCAGATCAAAGGCTTTGCGGAGGAAATACTGCGCGATGTTCAGCTGGAGATCAGCTCGGCGCCGACCACACCCGAAACAGAACGCACCAGCTCAGAGCCCGTGGGGCCGGTTTCCGGCAAGCCGCCCATCAAGAAGAAGCTCACGCGAACCAAGTCATTGCGTTTCTCGTTTACGCGCAGCATATCGCGGGAACAGTTCCAGAGTCAAAGCGAACATCTTATGGATGGATGTACACCTATTTTGGTGGTGGATCCCAAAACGATACAGCAAAACTTTCAACAGGCGACAGAGGATAATCAAAATAATAATAATACAAAGCTTAAGGATATATCTGACGTGGACACAGATGAGGCGAGCAATTGAGGGATGTGCAAATATGTAAATAGTATTAGCTGTGTTTCTATTGAAGTTTAGCTACGAGCTGCAATGAGGCCTGCACCTAGAATCGAACGATTTGAATTTGAATAGTTTTTAAGCCGCGCTTTTAATTTTCATATAATTTATTGTCGGGTTCCTACATATCAATATTATTTAGTTAAATCTCTCATGAACAACAAAACCACAACAAACTCTTATTTATAAACATAAACATTTACTTAGCATTTAATAAGCGCATTTTTTTATTAAAAATATATTATTAACTACAAAGAAGTTTTTTCCCTTTACAAATTACAAATCTCGTAAGCGAATTTTAAGCTAAGCTTTCAGAGCTTTCAATTCGTTACTTAAGTAGAAGGGAGACAGCAACAATCGTGCACCCTTGATTGATCGTGTCAATTGTTTGCATGCAATTTGACTTGTGTGATTGCATTTCCATAATAAACATCAATAATTATGTGTCAATAATATAGAGACTAATCAACTTTTACAAATACCCCGGGCAAGTAAACAAGACAGTATAAAAAACAACGGTAAAACAAAAACAATGCAACCGCGCTTACCTTTCTGCTAATGCCTTCCCCGCTTTCTGTCTGTCTATTTAATCTCAAGCAAATGTTGGTTTTTAGTTTCAAGTCACTTCCAAGTTAGGCACTTGCATACAGTTTATTTATAATAAATTCACAAATCTTTCACAATAACAAAACAAACGAAGCCACATGTGCGAGCGGACAGCTGAACGATTAATACGATTGCCGGCTGGCGCAAACTATCGATACCAGAGGTAGGACTGCACTATCGCACTAGTCGATTATTGTATTTTCATTGCTGCAAAAACGTAAACAAACCAGAGCCGGCGCCTTTTATTGTTAAACGTTTGCATTTATTAGTAATATTAATATTAAACATGCCCAACTGGAATCAAATACAATCGCAACTGCGCAGCTCAAACAACCCCGTGGTGTTCTTTGATATAACTGTGGGCACAACGGTAAGTCAATAATTTTGAAAGTAATAATTTCATTAAAATTTAATCACTTGCGTTTGGCAGGAAATTGGACGCATGATATTTGAGTTATTTGCGGACACTGTGCCGCGCACAGCCGAAAACTTTCGACAATTCTGCACGGGCGAATATCGGCCGGACGGTGTGCCCATTGGGTACAAAGGGGCCAGCTTTCACAGAGTCATCAAGGATTTCATGATACAAGGCGGAGATTTCGTCCAAGGGGATGGCACTGGTGTGACCAGTATCTATGGGAATACATTTGCCGATGAGAACTTTACGTTAAAACACGATTCACCTGGTCTTTTGGCGATGGCCAATAGCGGCCGCGACACCAATGGCTGTCAATTCTTCATCACCTGTGCCAGGTGTAATTTCTTGGATGGCAAGCATGTGGTCTTTGGACGTGTGTTAGATGGTCTCTTGATTATGCGAAAAATTGAGAATGTGCCAACGGGACCTAATAATAAGCCAAAACTACCGGTTACTATATCGCAATGTGGACAAATGTAGCGTGTGTTGTTGTGTGTGTTTGTATAATACATTTACAATACAGTACAAGACGAGTATAACGACCATTTATCTACTACTAAATAATTGTCTAAATGTCCTTGTTAAAGTAGGAATAGGATTGTACCATTTCTTTCTCTTTGCGCAGAGTCTGACAATCCTCAATCAAAAAGCTGAAAATTTAAATATTGATTAGTTGRTTCATATTACATATTCTTTATATGTATATGTATATGCTCACTCGTAGTATAATGGCACTATGGGAATTGTAGCTAAGTGCCATAGCGAATGTGCATCGAGTATCCATAAGATAGGCGGAAAATCCAACAGCTCCAGGCTCATGGCCATAGCGAATAACACGTAAAACCGTAAAATGCGTCTGAAGTAGGGCCTTCGCGTGCGCACACGTTGACACCAGATAAACCAGCCCAGAGCCGTGAGCACGCCCGTCGCAATATTTACCTTCATATTAAAAGAGTAATTGAATTTGCCCGTGCTCAGATAAGCGAAGTAATTGATGTAGTACGAGACGCAAGCCAGGGTAATGACGCCCCTTAAGAAGAGTGAATACCGATGCAGCATACGCATTAGCATGCAGTAAAAGGAACACACAACAATTGAGTAAGCGAACGCATAGTCCAACAGCTCGGTTATGGGAAAGTCTCTGGTATGGAATATAGCCGACCAAACCCAGCCATTAAGACAGACCTGAAATCAGACAAAATTCAATAAAGGAGATATTTACTTTCTAAATCACTTACTATAGCAAAGATATGGGCGAGCATATAGCATGGACTATCCGGGCGCACGTTCCACCTGAATTTACGTAACATACGAAAATGCATGATAAAATTTAGAACAGAGAATATAACTGATGCCGGCTCCTGCATGCCAAACAATCGTAGAAATGGCCATTTGCCATAGAACTGGGGTATGGGCCAGCCTCGCTCCATGAATGCATAAACCGTGCGCCACATGCACCCATAGGAGCATTCGTCCGTGCAGCGCCATCCAAAGAGCCGATCAAATATCGTTTGGCCATAAAAGCTAACCGCTTGCTCCTGTATCTCTAAGCCATCTATAATGCATGCTCATTAGTGATATAGTCTACATAGTATATAAATATTTACTCCACATACCGGCTGAGCAATTTGTTCGTTCGCAGTTCTGTCGACAATTGTGAAAGAATTGAGTGCGATCCCCATTGGAAGCGAACGCCGGCAGCGTTGCGCTTTTTATCGACAGCAGCAGGAACAGTAACTGCCATATTGCACTCAATTTCAAATTAACTTTGAGCATTATGCTTTGCTTCACATAAAATTTAGTTAAACATTTTTGTAAACAAATCACGCCGCTATTGATTTATCTCTGATTAGGGATGCCAGCCAACATACAATAGATATTCACATATTTTTCACACCATCTTAATAGATATAGGAATGGCATGCATAATAAATTATTTTAATTGTCGACTTTCAATTGCCTTCATGCATTTTATTGTGATTTTCAAAATATTTTCATTTTTTGTTTACAAAGAGAAGCAACCCATTTGACAGTGTGGCAACCCTTGTCAGCTGTCAAAACAGTCAACTGAACATATCAGCGTTTATACCTCCGTATTTATTGCGATATGGTAGCATGATATGGAGATGAGGCAAACATCTGTTCCAACAAAATATATATAATATTTTTAAAAATAGGTTAGCCAAACAGGTTGTTTATCTATGGCTGTATGCTCAATTCCCGTCACTTACTAGAAACATAATAATTGATTTAAATATTCATATAATCAAAACAGAAGTTGATTGTTTTTTGACATACCGATGAATATTCCGTTCTTGATTTATCGTATAAACTTTGAGTATCTCTCTTCCTCGCCTTCATTGCAGTTGTGTTTGTGTTTGCTTTTGCAGTTGATAGTGTGGGTAGTGCTTGAGTGCGATGAAAAAGTCATAAATGAAAAGAAAACATTTAAAAATTATTTTATAAATCAGCTGCATGAAATAAAATTGTTTTGCTGGCTCAGCTGTTCGCAAATCACAAAATATAAATTCAAACGAAATCCAAAATCACTGCAATTGCAGGTACAATTGACGCGCGTGCAGTGGCAGTATTTATAGAGACCTGCAATTGCACCATCATGTTAAATAGCACCCAATCAATGCATCAGTTACCTGTGCAAAACCAACAACAACGTTGTCGCGTTTAAGTGTGTGTGAGTGTGTGTACTATTCATATATATTTAGAATATGACGTTAGAGCGCACTGCATAAATTAGCACAGATAAGGCTCCTTCGCTCGCGCAAAGTGTGACCAGGCTACAAATTTGCATGTCCGAGTATCTGTCAGTGGACGCCAGTGGCAGAGCCAGCTCCAGCAATGTCCACAAACTGAGTGGACAGCCAACGCCGCCGTCGTCGACGTCGACGCTGCTGCTGCAGCAGCGGGAAACAGCGCTGCGTAAGCCACACAATTTAAAGGTAAACAAAACTAATTTTGGCTATTGAAATAAATAGTTAATAATAGGTAATTTAATTACAGCGTGAGCCACTGGTATTCTTCATCATGCGCTTGAATCTGAAAGCTGTGCTGCTGCTGCTCACGGTAGCCGTTATGGTCATCACATTGGGCATTTATATGCGCTGTGCCGCGTTCAGTTTCTCGCCGGATTTCGTGCGTCAGCTGAGTCGACGGCAGACCTACGACACGCTGGCCAGTTCAGCTGCAGGGCAGGACTTGCTGTCCAGCCCCTTGCAGGACATTGAATGCGCCATCAATCAGGAATATAGCATACACTGCAAACGGGACGAGAACGCCAACGAGGTCTATGTGCCCTTCTCGTTTCTGCGGCAGTATTTCGATGTCAGTGGAGCTGTCACCACTGGCGGTAGCAGTGGCAGCGAAGCAGCCAAATTCAATTGGATGCACAGCAATGCAAAGGTAAATTTGCCCAAGGGCAAATACGATCCACGCGGCGTCTTTATGTACTTCGAGAACTACAATGTGGAGGTGCGGGATCGGGTGAAGTGCATCAGTGCCGCCGAGGGCGTGCCAGTGAGCACGCAATGGGAAAAACGTGGCTACTTCTATCCCACACAGATTGCACAATTTGCGCTGGCGCATTACAGCAAAAATCTAACGGAACAGACGCCACGCATCCACATACTGGAAGATGCCGATAGCAATCAGATGGAATGGAACACGCCCAAGACGAGCAACCTGACACGCATTTGGCATCACAAATTCAACACGAGCATCGTCCAATTCGAGACAACCATTGGCTATGAGAGCGCCATTAGCATACAGTTGAATCAGACGCAGGATCTGGTTTTGAGTGTGGATCTGCTGCTGGTCACGAATAGCAGCAGCCTGATGGTCACCGTCCTGAACCGGGATACGAAGCATAGCTACAATTTGCATTACCTGGCCGCAGAGCTGTTGCTCAGTGTGCAGGAGTCCAATATTTATTATGGCCTGGGCGCTGGTTCCCTGAACAAATGGCGTCACATAACCAGGGATTTGCACATTGATCTACAGAAGGGCATTGTCATGGGCGACAAGCGTTCCCCATTGAAGGTGCGTCGCAGCGACTTGGAGGTGCTATCCATTGCCTTTTTGGGCATTGGCTTCTACGATAATATTACGCTCTCGACGAGCGATCACTTGGCCCATTTCTATGATGCAGCCGAATGGTTTGTGCACAATCAAGATATGAAAACTGGCGGCTGGACGAATCCAGTGCGTCGCAGTTTGAATGGATTTGCCGAGCTGCGTCCCGGCTGGATATCGGCCATGGGCCAAGGGCATGCCATCTCAGTGCTGGCACGTGCCTATTGGCATTCTGGAGGAGATATGCGATATTTAAAGGCGGCTTCTTTGGGTCTGCAACCGTATCGCATCTACTCGCGGGATGGCGGTGTCCTGGCTCAGTTTATGGATAAATACTATTGGTGAGTGTGGAGTAAGTTACGAATAAACTCTGAGCTACTTTAACCCTTTGCCATTTACCAGGTACGAGGAGTATCCCACAACGCCGGCATCGTATGTGCTCAACGGTTTCATCTACTCACTGCTCGGTCTGTACGATCTGAACAGCACAGCGCCTGGAAAGATAGCACGCGAGGCGGGCAAATTGTTTGCCCAGGGCATGCATTCACTGAAGAAGATGTTGTTGCTGTACGACACCGGCTCCGGCACCAGCTACGATCTGCGCCACTTGAGTTTAGGTGTGGCACCAAATTTGGCACGCTGGGACTACCATGCAACACATGTGAATCAGCTGCTGCTGCTGGCGACCATCGACAGTGATCCATTGATCGCCCAGACTGCCGAGCGCTGGAAGGGCTATATGTTTGGCAAGCGGGCCAAGCACAACTGAGAGCGAAGGAAACTGGCGGCAGTGGTTGCTGCCGCCTCGTGGCAGCCACATCGCCACCAGCCCGAAAAGCCCAACAAGTGATATTTTTTGAAAAGAGAAACCATTTGAAATGGTTCAGCCGCATCCCAATTTCCAATTATCCTTTAAAAGCAACGAATTTGTTTGACCTAATGTTCATATTGTTATTTTTGGCATGCTTTCATATACGTCCGAAATATGTATGTAATTTTCTTGTCTTTTAGTTTCGTTCGTTTAGTGCTTAAGGAATTGTACCTATCTACTACGTATATACCTTGTATTGCATAAACATAATCATTAGCTGCTATTTGCCATATACATACCTGTATAAGATATGTATATATATAACTATTTGTTGATCAATGTAGCTTAATTGTTTCCTAAGTAGTTGCACGCGTAATTTCACTGGACAATATCAGAAACTAAACCTAAACTATTAAAAAAAAAAAAAAAAAAAAAAAAAAAAAAAAAAACAATCAAAGTGATCTAACCTATACCCTAACCAATTTAGCTGTACTGAAAGGGTATACAAAAAAATTTAATATTATCACTTACTGTTGTATGTTAGTCGACTTTTTGTACTGCTCTAAGTAGAGATTGTTACACACAAGCCCCTTACCCAACTTGTATAAAGTAAAATTGTAGAGAGCTTAGCATTATATATAGGACCCACTCGAGTTATAGATAGTATCTATTAGATGCATACATAAACGAGGATAGTCTTACAAATTTTCAATCTTAACTTGAAGATAATATTTTTTATGTTTGTATTTTAATTTGAGAATCTTTAAAATTTCCAATTTCGTGAAGATAAAAGTTAGAAAAATACAAATGAATTTAATTTATTTACTCGATCATTTTTTAGACTCCTCGCATATACTTAAATAGATATATGTATATCTGATAACATATTTGTACTTCATTTCTTCAGGCGTATTTTAGTGTTCCGAACTAAATCTATTAACTGCCTAATAAAAACTACGTTTACAAGTATTGCGATATTCTGCTGTAAATAATATATATCATTTGAGTTTTATGTTTAGATCTAAATGAATTAATTTTCTAAAATTTAAATAATTTAAAGCATTAATTTTAATTTTAACACACATAATATATATATATATTTTATGTGGCGCACAAAAGTCGCAAGACCATTTTTACATAATTTAATATACATATATGTATATTATCTAAAATATCGCAATTGAAAGTTAAACGTAGTTTAAGTAATAACTATAAAAACTAAAATAAATAACAAATGAGTAATTATATTGAATAAGCATGTAACTGTAATGTTGTAGGCCACTTCTGAGAGTTTCTCAAACTTAAACGATGCCATTCCAATATAATTCTAATTTTATATTTAATTTTCAACGTAAAATACTTACCGTCAATTATTATAAAACAAAAAATAAAATCGTTTTTGTATCTGTTGTGTATTAAAAAGAAAAGAAAAAACGAACGAGACTGTTAAGTAAAAAGATGTTAATTTTTGCAATTAAGTACTTAAAACACGTGTAAACTTTGTGTTTTCTCAATTTTATTTACAATTTGTTATAACAAAAGAAATATAAAACGCCTCTGTCAACATTTATATTATGTATATCTTCTATTTCACTAAACAGACATACTATATATATATATATATTTGTTATATTTGAACATGAACATGAAAGGGAATTCTGACTATGATTGGATTGGGTAGAGTTGGGCTGGGTTGGATTGGTTGTTGTTATTATTGTCAGGATCGCCTTGATTTGAGGACATGCGAGCGTATAGAGGGCGGACCACTGCGACGACTCACTTCCAAGATGAACGCGTTCTCCATTTGGTCGCATATCAAATCAAAGAAAATATTGGCAATATTGCTGTGCAGCAGCGATTTGAACTCGAAGGCAACGCGAAAGTCGACAACGCATGAATTCGGTATGTCCTTCAGGCCCGGACTGAAACGCCATTCATTGAGGAGGTAGTTAAACAATCGGCCATCGTGGCATTCCGATTTCACGCGACTGTTCGGCTGCAGTGTAACCTGCGATGTGTAGATCTCGTTGAGTGGTGGAAAGCCAACGATCAGATCCGCTTTGAATCCACCTCCGCCGGGATCGACGGTGTGCACCTGCGATTTCTTAACATAGGGCACGAACTTGTAATAGTTACTGACATCGGAGACAACGCTGTACATATCTTCCATGGAGTAGCTGCAAGCATGTATATACATTCACATGTTAGTCAAATTTATAACTAATGAGATCATCTCTCCGACAACTCACCCGACAAGCTCTTTTTTGGTGTACATGCGATTCTTGTTGCGAAAATCATTGAACGTTATGTAGTAGCGCTGGATGCCATTTATATAGCGACGCGGCCCGATCTGCTGGCAACTGCAACAAGAAAGGCTGCGTTTTGTCAATAACAGTTTTTTAATAATTTAATCATTTATAATCTGGTTTAAACTCTCGATAGAATTTTGTTATTTTTTTTTTTTTTACATACTGTGGCAAAGGTTGCCAAGACTTGAGATTATATAATTAACAATTTACCTGCTGACCTTGATTGCATGTAACGCTGTATAATTCGTACATCCAAAGCCTTTAATGTGCTGCCCTTTAACATCTTTAATGGAAACAATTTGTTTATTTTTGAAATGTGTATAACGAAATTTTGTGGCTGCTTCTGAACAAAATTGTCCACCCCCAATCGCAGCACGCGCAATCCAAAACAGCTGTTGACGCAGCGTTGCCAGATATAAACAATAAACTGATTTAAATATATGTTTTATTTTCTACATAATAGCACAATATGAACGCGCTTCTTCCTGTGGTACTGCCAAACCCATCAGCTCCTTTTGCTTCAACTCCAAATATGTATTTTCATTGCGTTTCTCTAGCCATTCGGGCAACGGCTTGGCCCAATCCTCTGGCGGCTCTTTACGCTTCATCCACGTATCGTTCGCATAGTGTGCACGCAATCTTGTCAATCGGCGCTGCTCCTCGCTTTTGATTATAGCACTGCCCGCTTCCACATCATTGCCATTGGAGCGCTCATAGCGTTCGCAATTGTGAAAATCGGTCAACCATTGCGAACAATCCGTGTCTTTACCATAGATGAAATATTGATGAAAGCGTGCCTTGAAACTGCTGCAATCGTCATACTCATCTTTATACAGGTGACACGGCCGAATCTATAATTTGCAATTCTAAAATCTGTTGCATATTTAAACCTGCATTACTTACGGCCCATGTATCAGTTAATTTTGGAACATCTTTGGGCGCTTTTGTTTCATCATTTTCACTATTAGCTGACATTATATAAAAATTTGTAGAGCACTGCGAGATGAGAAAATAGAGAGTAACAGCTGTTTTTTGTTTACCGCTCAACAGGGCTGCCACCCCGTTACAAAACGTACACTTACGATTGTAAATAAATATTGGATGGTCGAAAAAGTCTTTTCGTATTTTGCCAATAGATGTCGTTGGCGTCGTATATCTCTAGTGATGGCAAAAAAAATTCATTGTTCGATTATTTAATCATATGATTTATTTTAGGTGCTTTAACGATTAATTGCAATTAACCGCTGAAAAATGAAAAAATCGATTAATCAAATGATTTTTTTTTAATGCGCTTATTATTTTTTTTATTTATTTTTTATGAACTCCTTTTAGAAGCAATAATAGCAACAAGAACAGTAAAGAATATACATAAATGTTTATTTATTTAAAATTGAGTTAAGAAATAGTAGTTGTGAAAGGTGCTCTGTTGTTAACCTGTTCCTTTTTTGGGAAAATGGCAAATTATCCATTGCAAGCATCTCGACAATTGACTTTGTCATCTCGGTATGCTTGGCGCCACCCGATGCAAAGCTATGCACGTTTAGAAATGCAGATTGAATGCTTTGCTGCGAATGCACTTTTGGTTGCGAGATTGTGCTGATCATTTCATTGTTGTCCCCCTCAAGTTCAGAATGTTCATAGCCGATTTTTGGGAGCTTAATATTGTTAAATTTAAGTATTTTCATTATTATAGACAACTGAAAACTCACCTTGAGGGACGCGAACTCTTTCGTATGTTTCAGTTTTAAGTGCTGAAACATATTGGTTGTATTTTTACAATACTTCAATTGTTTTTGGCACAATTGGCAATTCACATCCGTGTCATTTAATTTTGAATAAAATCTCCACACTTTACTTAGTTTTGGTGCCATAATGACGCTTCGCCACTAACTTTTGCGCGCCAATGTTGCTTACAGCGATGCGATTTTTTGAGCAAATCATCGATTATCTCGATTATTCAAAACCCATTTTGCGATACAATTAAATCGTGAATTGAAACAANGACGAAAAATGGATCAAATACGACAATAATGTGCGAAAAAGATCATGGTGCAAGAGTGGTGAAGCTCAACAAGTGGTCGCAAAGTCAGGATTGACGGCTCGAAAGGTAATGCTGTGTGTTTGGTGGGATTGGAAAGGAATAATCCACTATGAGCTGCTTCAGCCTGGTCAAACGATTGATTCGACACTTTACTGTGAGCAACTGATGAGATTGAAGCAAGCAATCGAAAAAAAACGGCCAGAACTGATCAACAGAAAGAGCATCGTATTCCATCAGGACAACGCCAGACCGTACACATCTTTGATGACCCGGCAAACACTGAGAGAGCTTGGCTGGGAAGTTTTRATGCATCCACCATATAGCCCTGACCTTGCACCTTCGGACTACCATTTATTTCGGTCAATGCAGAACTCCCTTAATGGAGTAAAGTTGGCTTCAAGAGAWGMCTGTGAAAATTACTTGGAGCAGTTTTTCAAAGAGAAACCACGAAWGTTTTACACGAATGGAATTATGTCTCTAGTGGAAAAATGGCGAAAGGTGGTCGACCAAAATGGTGCATATTTGATTTAATAAAGTTTATTATAAATATTAAAAAATATGATTTGAAGTTTCCTTACAAATACGAAAAGACTTTTTTGGTTTTGTATCATGGTTTTCCTGTTTTATTGCAAATAATTGCACAATTAATGATATAATGTACATCAAAAAACATTAGGTAAATTGAAATGTTAAAACAACATTGCATCATACAATATTGTTTTTGGCAAAAATTTACACGTCTATGATGTTTTTAATCTTCGTTTTTCAGCGTTATTTAAAAACCTTTTTATGTATACAGAAAAAAATATATATATATAAATATGCAGAAATATATTCAATGTAATTGTGTAATATGCTTGGTGGCTGTGTGTTTGTATGTATGTGTGTATATATACTTAAAAGGATTGTAATTAAAGCCTTTCAATTTGAATTTCAAGCGTTTTCTTCTTTTCTTTTTAGCATATTACAGCAGAACTTAAAAAATTAAAATAACGTGTTTTTCTTTTCTTTTTGTTTTGTTTTGTGATTACAATTTGTCTTAATTTTACAAGAAACTACAAAACTAAACCCGATGGCATGTTTAAACTAAATGGTAGTCAAAAATATACAATATGCTGTGTTTTACAAAATTGGCAAAAAACATTTCATAAATTGTTTTACAAAAAGAACTACGTACACTAAAAATTTCTAGAACCAGTTTTCTTTTACCATTTTGTACACATCTAAACTGGGTTAGAAAATTTAACGGAGGCGTAGGGCCAACTACAAAAGATCAAAGCACAAGAATATATATATACGGTTTGTGCCTACGTAATTATATGTTTCTGTTTTATGTAATTGTATATGAAGTGTGTTGTTTTATACCTAATTCTAAACTTTAGTTTGACTTTTAAGACTTAACAGCTAGAAAAAACAGGCAACTCCTGTTTTTGGGATTTTTGTTTTTTGTTTTGTTTTTTTTTATATTGTGGTTGGTTGTTTATTTGTTGTTGTTGTTGTTGTTGTATGTAGCTGCTTTACATTAACCATCGAGCGTCCAGCACATTATCCAATTGGAGCAGTTGCAGCAATTGCTCTTGATGCTGGTAATGCTACAAACGACTCGACAGTTAGTATTTGTTATGCTGTGCCAGCAGTTGCATATCCGTCAGATACTTGATGATGTGCACCTTGGCCTCGGCCTTTTGCCGCACGCCCAGCGTGTTGAGCATATCGGTGACGACCATGCCAAACGACTGATCCTCGGCACTGACCGCTTGCGAGACATTGTTCTGGAATATCTTAATGCTATTCAGCATATTGTCACTGTGCTCTTCCTCGCCTCGTTCACGCTTCAGCGGCGGCTCATAGAAATATGGCTTCTGATCCTTGCCTACAGCGGTGGCGAGCTGGGCGTCGCCAGTGACAGTGATTTCTATGGGGAAATCTTTATTAAAATCAGATATGTTTTATGTTTAATCGTGTACTCACCGTGCGGATGCGTCAGTGCCTGTGCGGATGTGGTGGCGCTGCCATTGAAGGGCTGTGCAAAGATGTCGACGACAGTCTGTTGCTGGGCTTGCTGCTGTTGCGTGGGATCGGCCACTTGATTGGCATTCTGGCTGCCGTTGGCACACTTGCCCAGCAGCGATTCACGATACTGGCGAATGGAGTCCACAAGGAATTGCATTTGCTTGAAGTAGCGCCAGCGCGATTCTTGGCATAGTTTCATTTCGCGCGCGAATTTGTCGCGTAAGCTCTTCCAACGCTTTGTACATTTTTGTTCTGAAATAAAATACATTCATTGTAATCACGCATTAAGAAATTTAATTTAAATTTTATCCTATTGCTTTGTATTCTATTTCACAAATATTAGCGCTGATATGAAAGTTTGTTTACTTTGCGTCGTTTGTCAAGTTTTTCTTTAGGGGAATGGCAACGCCGGCATTGCTGCCAGACGTCAGCCATATGTGTGCGTCAAATTGCAAACCAAAACAAACCGCGAGACGTCAACTCCGATGCCTCAGCCGCCCCCGCTTACACTTGAACAAACGGCGTTAGCTATTGGCAGAAGCCGCAGTAGCAGCAGCAGTAGCAATAGCAGCAACAGCAGTAGCAGCTACAGCAATCGCAGCTGAGGCAGCAACAGCAGTAGCAGCAGCAGCAGTCGCAGCAGACGCAGTAGTCGCAGCAGCTGTAGCTGCTGCTGCTGAGCTGAAGCTGAATCCGTGGCACGCCAGCAGCGACAGCAGCTTCCGAGCGGCCTGGCGGCAGGCGTGCGCCCGCTGCTGCTGTCGACGTCGACTACAACTACGAGTTGATTCTACCAGCTTGGTATTGGTAATGCTAGCTGCGCGGACCAGGCAGCAAATCTGACGACAGAGTCGTCTTCATATTTTCTTCTCCTCCAACTCAAATGGTTTGGCGCCAAACTCTTTTTCATTCAATATAAAAAACGACTTGCATAATTCATTTATGGAAAAGTCCCAAAATCGGATTTGGGACACACAATTTTTGACAGACAGGGGGAACAGACGAAACTGTATTTTTTTTTTCTTTGGTATACAGTCATGAAATGAAATGAAAGCTGTTCGGTTGGTCGACGATTGTCTTTATTTGTATGCGTGTTGTTTATGGCTGAATGTGTGTGTACGTGTGTGCGAGTGAGCAGCCAACATCAATGTTGGCAGCAGCTGCAGCGGCGACGGCAGCAGTGGCTGTTGTATAAAAATAAACGCTGGCGTAGGCAGCGTGTGTGTGACAAAGACAACTACTGCGACGCAAAAGTACAGCAACTTCAAAAATGTTGACTGCGCGCACATATTGTCGACAGCGCAGTCAGGAGCGTAGCTGTAGCGCCCAAATGCGGGCGCATATAACCGGTTAGCTAACAAGACTTTTGCATTTAACCAAGAAATATTTGTATTTAGATTCAATGTACAATTTTCATAGAGCTATATCATTTTCAATATGTTTTAACAAGGCCCAAACCGTTCCGAGCTCAATGCGCCCCTGTCATTTCACAACCGACTGTCGCGTCTCCGTCGCGTCGCCGTTCACTTTTGCGTCGTTTCTGTACACTTGCTTTTGCTGCCCGCCTGCTGCCGACGCCCGCTGTCGCTGTCGACGATGTCGTCGTATGTCGCCTCTGTTGCCAGCCCATTCTGCACCCGTTCCACCCTCTCTCCCTCTTCATTCGTGTACGAACACAGAATTTAATCAATTTGCTGCGACGACGACGGCGCCAGCTGCCTTAGTTGCCTCCGCGGCCAATACTCAATTTCACTTGCCACACAGCTTATGGGCTGGTTGCACCCTTCGGACACCCGTTTCACAACACTAAAATTTCACTTACCGCTAACTCCAAGTGTTTCAGCGATTTGCTTCCAAGTCTGCGCCTTACGCACAAAATGCTTATAATTGTAATGTGAGCGATCGTATATAACGGGATTCATTTTAACTGCCTCAATTAGATTGAGATCAAACTGCTGCTCCAGGTTGGCATCCAGTTTGTCCATTTCGATGGCTGCACTCAGTGTGTGCACTGCGAGAAAACACACAAATATATTAAATATACTACTTATATTCGTATCGATGTGTGTGTGTGCGCGCGTCTACATATACATTTCTATATGTATTTGTGTGTATGCATGTAAATTTGCCACTTTATCAATATTGCCATTTATATGAAACGAACTAACTAAAACTCACTTTGTTTCTTTCGTTTGCTAATTGTTGTTAAATAATTGGCGCGCACGCACCCTTTATAGTTTATTTGTTTTTATTTTGATTTGGTCTTCTTCGAGGAGGAAACGTCGCGACGTCGACGTTCAATTTTATTTCTCAGTCGCTGCCAACAGTGAAATTTTTGTTCCAAGAATGAAGCAGGCAGCGCAGTCTACTTTTCTAGTATGTATATTTTAGCACAGCCAGCCGCTGCGACGACTCGACGTCAAATAAAGGAGACGTCGACAGCGTCGCGACGTTGTAGTCAGCGTTGGCTGAATATCACTCTCTCGCTTCCGCATATGTGCAATGCTTGCTTCCTCTTTTGCGCATGTTCAAGTGCCGCTCAGTGTTGGGAAATTTACATTTGAGCTGTGTCTGTGTGTTGGATACCGGCTAAAATTTTGCCGATGTTTCGATAGGCATCATCGATAGTTTATGCATATTTAGATTGAAGTTCTAATATTGAATTAAAAATTATGCGTTTTTATATGTGCTCTAGCCAGTGAAACGAGATTGTTTAAAATTATTTAATTTTTATGTATTTCGGTCTCGCTTTCGGTGTTTATACAATTTGTCTGTACCTTAACAAACGTATTGCATTTGTTGCTGTTTTTTGTTGTTAAATGAAATGAAAAAATATATGTATTTATATATTCTTGTCTAATATATTGTATTGCATGCTACTACTGTTTTTGAAGAACTGGAAACAAATTTGTATGACAATATAGTTGTGTGTACTTAAAATTATGTGTGTATCTTCATTTGTTTAAACAATTTTGAGTTTATAGAGAGAATGTGGGATGTGGATAACAATGATTTTGACAATATTTTTTCATAAATATAAATTAAAATTGTGCTTAACTAATTTTTGTGTAATGTTTAATGTATGTATATTCAAAAAGGAATGACTTAAGAGTTAGTTAAAAATCCTCCTTAGTAGTTAAATTGTTTAAAGATCTTTGTAATACGAAACCGGAGAGAAGCAGCAAATCAAAAAATTATTATAAGTTTTCAAATTATAAAGCAAAAAGTACGTAAAAAACAAAATTACAGGCGCAAGTTGGCAAATTTTGTTTTCTTTTTTTCCTTTCAAATGTAACATATCATCATCATTATCATCATTGTAAAATGTTTGTGGGTTTTCTTTTGTTTTAATTTTACATTATTTTTGCAATCATTATATATTGACAAACTTTTTAACTTAATGCTAAGCAATTTTACAATTGTGTCTCAGAATACAAATTTAATTGCCAAAAATGAATTTAATTGGAACTCTCTATTTTGTTTTCTTTTGTTTTTTGTTTCATTTTCATTTGCTTTTTTGTGTGCCACATTTTGGGTTCGGTTCCTATAGTTGTCTGTGTGTGTGTGTAGTCTGTTTCTTATTGTTTTTGTTTTAGTATTCACTTACAATATATCATCATTTTTATGTTTTTTTCTTTTGATTATTACATTGTTTTTCTTTTCTTTAGAATAATTAGCTTAAAATGTAACGAAATAAATGTTGATTTTTTCTAATGGGGCCCTTCTTATTTACTCTTTTGTTTGTTTTATCAAAATATGATGTGATTTCTTATTTGTTGTTACTGTACTTATTATGTGGGTGTGTATGTGTATGTGTGTGTTTGTTTGTTTGTATTGGTGTATATATTTAAATTTATAACGTACAAAGACGATACAGTTTGTAGATGCTTCTAACCATCATGCTTTCTCTTCTTGCCCCTAGCATGCGTTTCATCTGGAAAAGTCAAACATTAATAACATTAACTATCTTTTAAATATTCATATGTTTATCTCTTACTCACCTGGCTTCTCAGCATCCTTCTCATCCTTGGCATTATTGACAGATGCAGCCGATTCATTTGGATCACCATCGGCCTCATCAATATCTGAATCTTCATCCTCATCCTCATCGCCGCCCTCGCCTTCTTCCCAATCAGAATTATCTTCTTCTAGATCATCATTATAGACCTGCCATATAAACAATAAGTTAATTGACTGATTGTTATATGGATATAAATTATTGATTTACCTCCGACAGGGATACGTCGCCATTGTCCCCGTCTTCACTCTCATCGCTATCTTCCTCATCATCATCTCCACCAGAAACTGCAAGCAATGCAAGCAAATTGATAAGGTTTTAATTAAATTTCTTTACGCACAAATGCTTACAATAGGCGGCATTCGCCAGATTTAATATTGCTAAAAACCAATAGATTAAAATTGCAAAATTCGTGTTTGATTGGTTGTTATTCGGCTGTACTGTGAGATGGCTAGCCTCTATCACAGATTGGCTCTCGAGCTTTGCTTTCTCTTTGATTTGCAGTTCTTTTAAATATTCATCTAATTCGTCTACTTCATCATTTTCAGCATCGGGAGGMTTTTGCTTTTGATTTTGCATTTCCTGCAAACGTTTTTTGGCTTTAACGCGCTGCTCCAATGCATCGAGCTCGTCTAAATCGATTTCTAGACCATTTACACAGAAGGCACTGGGCTCATCTGAAAGTCGACAGAATCTGTGTGTTGTAATGTGTACGATATGGACTGAACTGATCTTAGTGCAAATAGGGAATGTGACAATAAGAAATGAGAGTGACTATGATCCGAAGTACGAAACTAACAATGAGAKAGAACGATCGCTAGATCTGTATAATACAGCAAATTTATGGCAATTATTAGCAGTTCCTTGRAGAAATGCTGTCTTTTGTGGTACACACCTTCATCCTCGGAGTCATTGCCATTGACTTCATCATCATCATCACCTTCCGATTGTACCTCCTCATCATTACAATCAAATCTATAAAAGAAAAATAAACATAAAGACATTACTTTATATAAAAATACACATATGTACATATATAGTAGTAATCCTTACCCATCTAAAAAGTTTAACGAGGGCAACATCTTGAATATCTTCTCACGGTAGTTTTCCACTTGTGTGGCATCATTATTGAATAGATCCAATATATTTAAGTTTTTGAACTCCTTCAAGGGTTTCAGCGTTTCCAAATCCTTGATTTTGTTGCCAGATAAATTCAAATATTGTAATTTCGGGCTGGTCGTTAAATAGTGGAGGCCACTCGAAATTCGATTATCAGATAATTCCAATTTCTTTAAATTGGGTAACTTGGGGAAACCTTTCAGTGTGGTCAAACCCACATTTATCAAACTTAATGTTTCCAAGGCGGTGTATTCATCTGTAAGGCCAACAATGCTTGTACTCCTGCAGTTATCCAGATTCAGTTCTAATATCTGTGCGTTTATAGAAAAGGGAAAATAATTTATTATTCAAATTCATTTCAACAATATTCATCTCATATAACTTCATTTTGGTATTTCGTACTGTCAGCGATTCCTGTGCTGCATACGGAAATGGGCATATTTAACATTAGACGATTTGGTCACACTGCCTGTGTATTCAGCGTATTGCGAGTCTCTGACAGTCTGCCATGTCTGTGTGAACGTGTGCCAGAACGAGCGCAAAAGAAAAAACTCAAAATGAAAAACAATACATACGCAAAAAATCGATCAAACGCAAAACATTTTTTTTGATTGCAATCAAAACTGACACACAAAATGGCGCATTAAGAATAACGAATATAATTATGGTAAAAATGAAAAACAATTTACTGTGCTGAGACAACAACAATGATTTTGAAACATATTGCGCACCTAGCTCCCAACTGAAAAAGTGGCAACGCGTTTATGTAACAGCTTTTTTTTTGCAGCAGTTGTGTATGTGTGTGCGTGTACGTGTGACGTACGCGCCACAAAACGGAATGCGCGAAAATGGGCATTGAAAGAGCAGCGCAAAGAGCAAGTGCTGATAACATGGCAGCGCAATACGCGCGCGTGTTACAAACAAAATTGAAACGAAATGAAATGTTATGAAGTACTTCAAGGGGGGTTGCACGGGGTTGGAAGGGAGATGGGGATGAAAAGGAAAACAGTATACAAGTCCTCCGATTTGCGGAATGGAACAAGCCGGCAGCTGCACTAACCCCAATAACAGCAATAACAAATTGTATGTTGACAAACGACTTTTTTATTTGGTAGTTGTTGCGCCTAAGCGCAAGAGAATCAGACAAACGGTTTTTACTTGAGACTTTTGATAAGCGTTGGACTTCCGCTTGAAATATGCGATTGAGAGCGTTAGCATTTTCTAGTTGCCCTTGATTATTTTCTGATTAGACAAATTAGAGTAGTCCAGTTTATAGATTTACAGTTTCTTGCGATGGCAACAATGGCAACAATGGCAACAATGGCTGGCGACATTTTACGTTCTGAGCAGCAGCAGCACCGCGTTTCATCTGTTCTGCTGGACAGTTACATGCACACAAATACCGACGTAGTTAAATGAGTGCTCACACACACATACAACCGCACGCAGCTTAAGCTTTGGAGCGTGTGCATATTAGCTTAGCTTTGACTATGTGTGGCCGCGTGTGGTTGTACAGCTGTATGTGTAGTTGGACCTCTGTGTGTGCATTTTGGTTGGGCGGAGTGGGTTGTGGGTGCCTGATTGAGTAGGCCTTGCCAGAGCGCATGTTTATTAATCAGCAAAAGTGCCACACACCAAAAAAGAAAAAAAAAAAAGACAGGTTTGTCTCCTCTGTTCCGTTCTGGTTCGCATTTCTTGTGCCGAGTGAGAGAGATACATATATACGTATGTGTGTATGCTTATACATACGAATATGAGTGGAGAGAGGGAAGTGCATGTAAACAGTGCATGTACCGTTTCGTTTGGGGCGGCCGGTTTTTTGCATTGTGAAAAGTCTAGCCTGCGACAGCAGATGTGTGTCTCTGTGTGCGAATGTGTGTGTGAGGGTATTTATGACTGCGCAGTCAATATGCCTGTGTGTGTGTGTGTGTGCATGTCTCAGCAGCAGCTATAGCTAAAGCTGGCGACCCATCGGCATTGGCGAGAATGTGTCGATTATTATGTGCATACACGTTTCTTGTTAGCCTGTATGCATACACATACATATATGTATGTGTGTATATATGAATGATGCGCGCGCTATAATGTTGTTATAGATACATTTTGGTATCAAATAACCTGAAATTACAAGCATGGCATACAAACACTCACACACATACGTACGCACGCATACGCATACATACACATACATATGTTTTTATTACAGTGTTTGTCACAATTGAAGGCCGGCAAAGGCAGCAACAACAACAGATTTTAGAAGCATTGCCAGCTGGCGCAACTTCTGCTTTGTGCATATCACGATCAGCTCGCATAAGCGCATGCATATCATAAATCGAATCTTGGCTACATATTATTGCGCATATATGAACTTTTAATTACATATGATAAATGTAATAATTGGAATATCTGCTGTATTTCATCAATTTGAGCAAAGCACAGGCGCAAAATGCGCGCACATGGCAACACTGCTCGCGACACACATACGTAGTACATGTAGCTGTGTGTGTGAATTTGCTTATGGCGATCAATTTTTTTTTTTCCACCGATGGATGTTATTTGCCGCTTCTTCTTCTTCGCTTAGTGCTTTTTGCGCTCTTTTTTATGGCGTCGACAGCGACACAAATTGAAACTAGATTTACATGATGGCGTAGTTATTGTTGCACACACATTCACACATTGAAAATTTGTGTAATCACACAAAAAAAAAACAAACTATTTAATTTTGCGCGTTTTTTCGGCTTGTATTTGTTTTGCACTTCGCTTCCTTCTTCCGTCCACCTTTAATAAATTGCATGTTTAAAACAAAAAGAAAACTTACCTGATTCGCTTTGCGTGCGCGTCTCTCCAATTCTATTCTCTTCTCCATTTTATTTGGTGTGGTTTTTGATTTCTTTTGAAAACGTCTTCAGCTGCACTTGTTTATGATTTGGTAAAAGCAAATTTTCTCTCGTACTTCCAACCAAGCTCGCAGAAATGCCAAAGGATACACCAMTACAATGGAAAATTGCTTCAATGTGAATGTGTTGGTGTGTTGGTCCCTTGCGACAGCGCGCACGCACCAGAAGCAGCGGCAGCAAAGTCGTTGCTCGTCGTTGTCACACACAAGAACACACACTCGCGCACGCACACACTCGCGTACTCACAAACACCTTGCAAATTTTTCTTTTTTGTGCTTCCTTGGTATTTTTGACGCCGCCACCCGACGCGTTGTTGTCTAGGAAATATACAAGAAAATGATTTACTATATATATTGGCTGGAAAAATGCGTTAATAGTTGCTCATGTGTGTACTTTAATCGTACGTTAGCGCATTTTTACACACACAACCATCTATACGCACACACACTTGTGACGCGCTATTTTCAAACGGCCCTTTGACACGTTTTTCGGCAGCTTTTCCGCATTTGGCATATTTTTTGGGTACACAATGTGCCGCTATTCAGACTTACCTTGATACGTTGAATATTTAAATATTAAAATCAATTTTTAATTGTATTTTCCAACCAACAACAACAACAAGCAACAAAAAAGCAACCAGTATAAAGCGCTAGGGATGTGCGATAAGAATGTTAGAGCTGCGCAACTATCGCCAATACTACTGATAATATCGGGGGTAGCTCTTATCTTCCATTATCGATAGCAGCTGGCGGCATTTGCATACCAGAACTGCTCCTCATATAACATAGTGACTCCACACTGTTCGGAAATGTCTTGGAACTGGAGAACTTTTTTCTATTATGTAAGAGAGTAGCATTTTGTAGTCTATGCTGGATGATATTAGAGTTGTTTTGTACAGTAACTGGTGAATTTGGAATACGCTTTATACAGTAAAATTTAACATAGCCTATGGTTTGTGTCTTTGATATGCGTACAGCTTGGGCAGATGAAGAAATATGAATAAGTGTAATAAAACTGTATTTGCTACTAACCGATAGATGACGCTTCTAGYTACTCGAACTGCGTAAACATACATATCGATGTTGAACCGATCGTTCTGATCGATGATCGAAGACTAAAGCGGTAATATTTCAACAATTGCGCYGACTCTAATTAGTGCAGTTGCATATAAATTCGTCACGAGTTTCATGTCAAACTCAGTTTTTTTTATTCATTTATTTATTTATTTTGATGTTTCAAATAATACATGCGTTGTTTAAGTAAATAGTGATTTATTGTATAAGGTGTTAATTTAAATTATGTTGCTGTTTGCATAAGTCGGCGATATATACATTACTATTGTAATTAAACATAGTAATGCATAATGAAGGTTGCGTTGTCGCGGCTGCACGTGCTTCTGGGCGTGACAAGCAGCTCAAAGCGAAACCAAATGAAATCCATATCAATAGCATATTAATTATAGCTAAGCCAACGCAACAGGCAAAACAATAGAAGACCTTGAAAACAAAGCGCGAGTAAATTTAGAAAAGAGTGGACCAATATAGCCATAGCTACGCAAGCAATAAAGACAGGAAACGCCGACTGAGCATCGATTATAATTAGCCAATTAAAAAGTCAATGAACGGCCAGTCGAAAACAGACCGAAAAAAACCCGTTGAGTAGCTTTTAACATACACACAAACAGGCACGCAACAGACATACACATACACACCTACACAGAGAGGCGCCATTTTGAAACGGAGGCCGCAATTCTGAACTTGAGGCCTTTGAATATTTTAAGTGTCGTTTAACGGTTAATTTTAATGCACATAATTAAGTTGTGATTTCATGCCGTTAAAGGTGTGGCAAACATGAGAGACAAAGAAGGCGGAGAGTGGCAGAGTAAGAGAGAGAGAGAGAGAGAGAGAGAGAAGGAAAGAGACAGCACTTGCCGTTGCGCGTGAATCTCAGCTATATTTTATTGCCTTTGCTCTATTAATTAAGCAACGGCGCGCGTCCTTCCGTTCCGCAAATTCGCCAAACGTGCGCCCATCATGCCTGCCTGAGCGGCTGCACCTGTAGCTCTTACATCGCCTGCTGTTGTTCAGGTGCGAAGCCCTGTATGTAACACGTGGCCATTTGTTTGGCCAAAAATAAACAAAGCTTTTCCAGCTGCTACAGCTGCCACACAACAGTGTTAAATTGCGTGCGTGTGTGTGTGTGTGTGTGTGTGTGTGGGTGGGTGTGATTTCCTTAAGACAGACAAGTGTCGCTTAAGTAAACTTGACATAAACCCGCACACGCACTCGCACACACTTACAGACATGCATACATACACACCTGTTTGTGTGTTTGCGTTAAGACCACATTAATGTTGTTATTAGCTTCAATGAAAGCTCAGTAGAATATCCAGCTGCTGAATTAAGCAATTCTTATGGTAATAGCTCTTATACATAGGCAGACATATATACATATGTATGTATATAACATATTTATATAACATATTTATTTTAACGTATAAATTCATCAAATTTAATAAAGGCTTATTCATTTAATTATTTTTAATGTTTTCAAGTGCAAGGCCTTCTGCATTTTAATAAAAAACTTTACAAAATATTTGTAAAAATTTTGATTGTCGTAATTTGTCAGGAGATTTTTTAAAAAATTATATGTTAATACTTTATTTTTTGTTGTATTTTGCAACAGTTAATTTATTATTAATTGTCCTATTAAAATTAGCTTGATTCATCTTTCATTGAATTATTAAAATAATTCTTAATTTTAATTCTATTATATATAAAATTTACATAGATGCAAAATACAAAACTCTGATTTCTAATTTACTGCAATTCAAGCAAATCTACTTTTGGTTCACGTTGCAAAACTCGCGCTGCATTCAATTCAATTTCCAAAAGGGGCTAATAAAAGGCTTCGACTATAATCATTTAAATACCCTTTAGCCTGCCGGTTGAATAAATAATTACTCACTAATTAGTTAAAAAGCTTTTAATTAGTAGTGTTGGAGCTTGAAAACAAATGCAAATAAAGGCTAGTCGAATAAGAAATTATTAAAAGCAAATTAACTGCAAGCAAAACAGGAAAATATAAATCGTGCGCTCTTCGTTTGGCTTTCACTCTCTGCTTTCAGTACTCTCTCCATCTCTGTGAGTGTGTGTGTGTGTGTCTTTCTCTTTCTCTCTTGAATTCAACAGTTTGCTTTTGTGCTTGACGCAAAAAGCTTTTGGGCAAAGCTCTTTCGCTGAAGATGCAGCAGCCACAAGTTGCCTTTTCGATATTTGCAACAGTTGCTGTTGAGTGTCTTCGAAAAGCGGACGTGCCAAATCAAAGGTAGCGGACGAACGCGCACAACTCGATTGCAAATACTCAAGTTTCAGAACGTTATCAGTGGACAAGTAGACAGAGACAGCGACAGAGACAGGGAGAGAGAGAAAGAGAGACATTGTCAGGGAAAGTGCAGACGACAACTGGCCAACTAGTTCAAGTGCAAGCCAAAAAATTGTGTTGCTGGCAACAATGTTGCCAATAAATTCTTAAAGCCATGTGAAAAGTGAAAACAAATTAATCGGGGAATTAAAAAAAATAAATAAAATTATGTCTACGCCAAGCCCCTAATCAAACGTAAATCACAAATTTCCCTTTAGCATTTTCAGTTTTATTTACCAAAGTGCTGAAATCATAAATCCAAAATTCTAAAAAAAAGAGAAGAAAATATATTCAAATCGTGCGCGTCTACATATTGTAAAATCACTTAAGCGAATCAAAAAAAAAAAAAAAAAAAAAAAAAAAATAATGTGTCCGAAATAAAAAAAAAAAACAAAAACAATTAGAATTAGAACTTAAGCTAAAAATTAACATATGTAGCCACGCACAGCTAACCAAAAATATGCAAGTGCATGATTTATATCATATACATATACATATATATATGTGTGTGTGTTGAAATGTCACACATGCGACAGTTGTCACTGTAATTTAAATCAGTTACGCGGCCTTGCCAGACAAGCAGACAGATATAAATAATCGTGTACAGTAAGGGCTCGCTTAAGGAAAAGTTATATAGAAGGTTTAGTTGATTACAAAATTAAAAATATTTAAGGCTGTTTGTTGATTATCGCTATTTTTTAAACTAAAAGAAAATGCAAATAATTTATAAAAACATATTTATCTGATTTTTTCTTTGTATTTTGTTTTTAAATATTAGTTTTAAAAAGACTTTTAGCTGACATACAAACGAATAGTATTATAAATTTTTATA